AACAGCAGCCAATCCAAGCAGACGTTTGCTTCTCTGTTGTCATGGAAAACACGAAGGTGTTCGTGTGTTTATCTTTTCTTCTTCTTCACGGTTTGGCGATGTGCATGTAAAAGCTGCCTGTTGTTGCAATGCTGCCATCTTTTGGAGCTGTGTAACTACTGCAATAGTATTTTCCACTTTTTTATTTTAAAATTAAAAGGCATGTCGAACATCGCACTATTCATTATTTTTTTTTTAATCAAACCCTCAAGAAATCAAGTCATATAATGTAGGTATTCACTCATCTCTGAGGCACTTCACACGTGGGTTGATTTTCAATGTACATGTAATTATGGTTTTCATATTGTTTTAGTGCTCCATTTGAAAACCCACTTACATATGTTTTATAAATTACTTTGATCTATTATTCGTAATTGCATTTTTAGCATCGGATTTGATAATGCTGTACATAAATTGGCATTTTTGTTAAAAGCACGTTGATACTAAGCACATTACAATGAGCCAAAAAAGCATCTTCAATAAACACAGACGGGATAGGATAACCATGTCCTTTTATTTCTTTCACTTGTTCATTGTCAAATGTCACGTTGTTTTTGTTTATCAAATAACCACAAACGTAAATCTGCCTTTATTCCCATCCTATATGTTCTTCCCCAAAGATTTGTTGTGCACATACACCTACTGTAAATTTACACTAGTAGCTACGTTTTTATCCACAGTACTGGCCATGACCTGGTTATTTGCATCCAAAACTTAGCATGGGAAGCGTGTACTGGCCTCATTACATCTATACTATGCAAGAAAATCACGGTTTGTGTTTAACTTTTTGCCATTTACCTTATTCTCCAGCAAGTCAACATCACAGAATGACAATATGAGGAAAACATTCCCTGCCATTTATCTTTTCTGCTTTATTGTCGAGATGTTGACCACTTCCTGTTTTGAAAAATGTTCCACAGAACAAAATAAATACATAATCAATCGTGATAAATATCATGTTCGAACTCCAGTCAACTGGATTCAAATGCTGGATGTGTCATCTTGACAGCAGGTACTTCTGATTTGGCAGCAGAAGCCTACAATAGATCATTGGCTTGGGATGTGGGGGAAGATGGTTACAATTGCTTAAATACAGGATGGCGTCACATTTTCTGTCAATTTCTTCACCAATATTGCCGCATAAGCATGCACATCTACTAGTGCCTAAAACTGGGACTGTGCACAGGATGTCAGTGGCCCTTGTAGTCTGGGGCCCGACGTAAACAAAATTGCATGAACACAAGTCATCAAACACTATTGTGCATGTTTGTCGACACACACACACACACACACACACACACACACACACACACACACACACACACACACACACACACACACCACACATTCTCAATTGATTTTGTCTTTTCTTTAATTGTAGTGATGAACAATAAATATTTCTCATCAAAAACATGTGCATTGAAGAAGACATATCATTCACAAGGTAAGTGTACTTCTTCATCTTCGAGAAGAACTGTTCAGCTACTTGGCTGTTGAGTCACCCTGCAAGCTAAGGAATAAGGCCGATCCACCGAAGTACCGGTATGTCTTTCTCATCTTTGTTGTTAGCTTCATGTAGCTGGTCACACAGCATATAATGATGAGCAAATCCTGTCGAGTTTACACGATCCTCTCATCATTATATGTACATTGTGCAGTGTAGATGGATGACAGTCATCTGTGGAATTTTCACTGTATGGCTCCAAAAGCCAAGGAAGCTGCTTGTATTTTCTCAAGTGTTGGTGGAGCAAAACGTCCTTCTTGTGGCTGGAACGGTATATTTTTTGACTCTCTTGGGTTGGTGTGGTTCACAAGCTCTCGTGCAAAATCATTAACCGATACGTTGCGCAGACGTTCACATGCCAATAGGATATTAGCCAGGACCCGAGGCCCTTAAGCCTTGATGTTGGATTTCAAGCTGTACACCAAACACATGATCACAGCTCAACTACCTTGATGAAGGAAAACAATGAAATCATTGTCAATAAGAAGTACAATAATTAAATATTTATTTACAACAATGGCCAACGAAAGCAGAAAACCGACCAACCCAGAAAAATGCTAAGCTATCACCTGATGCTCCCCAGATCTTCTCAAACATGGTTTCCCAAGAAAGAAGACACTTTAAATGCTCTTCATTTTTCACAGACAGGAAATGCTCCGGTCGAGCCGCTGGGTACTTTTTCGAGTAGTGAACATATGAGAGCGGTCTTCTTTGGAATTTTTCACTGGAATAGATGTGACACAAAATACCAAATTAATTTGATCATTTTCACCTTTGTTTAACCTGTGAAGTCTGTATTCTGCTCATATTTCGTCATGCTGTATAACTTTCCCATGCCCGCAGTGTAGCTTGGCGTCCTTGTAACAATCATCACCTAGAATTGGAATACTCCCTACTGAAGACGCACAAACTTTGGAATGCGCCAAGCTGAGAATCGGTTGAGGAGAAACGAAAGTTATGATATCACAATTTGTGTCTCGGTACCGCCCTTCTGATGGTATAAAAATGATGTGAATCTCTTCCTGCTTCGCACTCGTGACGCGCAGCCATTGTCTGTAATTCGTGGGTGCCCCGAATATTCTGTTATTAAAAGCTTCGAAGGAACTGTTCATCGACTCCAGCCTTTATTTGGATTACCAACATTCTCCTCGTCCGAAATTCAACGAACACGCGGGGGAGAGGAGGCCGCTCTTCCCCCAACACCTGCCACGACATGCACACCAAATAGTAAACAGAATTGAAATTAGGCCTTGCTTACTTGGTTGCTAACAAACAAATTATGAAACAAAACCATCAAGAGGGTCAACAAACCTTCATATTGAACAGCCAAAGCAACATCCTCAAGGCTTGAATTCTACCCTTGGGCAAAAGGGAAATGGAAGAGCTTGCAGCAAGTTGTTCATCTCTTCACTCGAAGGATGTTGTTTTGCTGGAAAATAGTGATGTGTACCTTAAAAATAAACAAAACAAATAAACCATCAACATTCACCAATATAAATTCTTATAATAGACTAGCTAATATCCACCCACTAATATTTAGGTATGTGTGTTCACTGTTAAGTGGCTGTTGGAAGCCATCACTAAACGAGCCACAATCTCGATTTCTTTTTTGTGTTTCACTGCGTTCATGTTAGTCATCTTACCATTAAACACTACCACTCAATAACGTACATGTGTACTAGTTGTAATCACAACTTTGAAATGTCCTTCTTCCTCATTTTCTCCTTTCCATATGCTACCCTGACAACCTATACTGAATTTATAGTTAATATCTAACACACACACACACACACATGCTGTGCTTCTTAAAAATTGGTCAATCTGGAGACACCATTTTTTTTTTTATTGGCACTGCCCGGGTCCCTCCTAATTTTATTCTGTCCCACTACAAAGGCTAATATTTTCCATTGCTTTCAATTCAAATTTCACAAATTTTATCAACTACATAAAGACCTCTCCGAAAGTCTGTTTCATTTATTCCTTTCAATGGGTTTCAACAATTTATGGAGTGTTTGTTCATTTTCAATGCATTTTTTTTTCCTTGGGTGACAAATTAAACGACACCTCACCTGAATGCCATCCGCAAACTGTTTGGCTTGTGATCATTATTTTGTAAACCTGGGCCCCTGCTTTCTACAATTATTTCAAATTCAGCAGTTCACCTTTATTATATGTTGTCTGTTTTTGTCTTCAGCAAGATTTCCAATGGTACTAACCTTTTGAAAATTGGATATTCACAAGGTTATGAAACTCAGATTCAACAAAAGGGTCACCTAAAATCTCGACACCGATTGATGTTTCAATAAGACATTGGCCAGTAACTGGTGCAGTTTCACCAATTTTAAAATGTCACAACACTCCTAATATTTGTCTCAGGAAAAGAATGCGGTCGCTGATGGTGTAGTGGTCTGACTTGTGTGCGGGCAGTATGGGAGGAAAAAAACAATCATATTACAGGTACATTAATTCAAGACACATCACATTTTTAATGCAGGAATGCATCTATATAAAAAAAGACGATTCCATGTGTAGCTTTATACAGTACAATTCAAAGGACCGTGCATTTTAAACTCGAACATTTCGATTCGGTGTATAGGCGTTTTTAAATAAAAAACGCCTATTCCCTTCAAATCGGTGCAACCACCGAACGGTGATCACGTGGTTAGCACGTCTGGCTCACGGTTCTTCTGTTTTGGATTTGAATTTCGCCCAGCCCTGATTAATTTAGAAAACTTGACACACACATACCTATACGTCGCTAGAAAACGATCACTAATAATTGCTCATGAAATATTTACCCAACCATGAAACCTCATAGGTAATGGGCAACTCCACATAAAAGACATTAGTTCTTTTCAATATTAACTAAGAGCTTCCGGTCACCGAAGTGCAGTAAGGGTCCGTGGATAAATAAAGGTACTCCCCACTGAAGCAGGACTTTCAAAATTAAACTATTACACATTTTACGGTTCATTTTTGCCTTCATAAAAACTACGAGTGCTCGTCAGATACTGTGAACGGGTAGGTACATTCCTCGAGTTTGGTCTCGACGGACACTAGATTGAGCGGCAGAGCCAGGTCAAGGCATAACTGCAAAAACGCATGCGCGGCGTGATGACGTTCCAACCCTACAAGTGCTGTGTGAACAATAAATTTAGCTCTTAGGTGTACCAAGACCGAAAGGTATTAAAGTATTTGTCACCTCTTGTCTACTCTCATCAAAAGTGCATAATCTTTTACGTTTTATGTTTTTGTTCTTTTATGTTTTGCATTGAAAACATGAATTAAAAGGTTTACATTGAAAAAAAAAAGAAATAGCCGTTTTTTATAAAATTAGTTGGGAGCCACAGTGGCACTCTGTGTTAACAGCGAAAATGACATCTTAATCAAATAATAAAAGTAAAGCGTTAAAACGGATAGAAATAGCCGTGATATTTAGAACCGCCTTTTCCGGTCATGTGACATGTTGGCCGCGCGTCTTTCCAGTGTTGGCGGGTGTTTGTTGACTGCCAGACCCGGGGAGGTTTGCCTCACGTTTTAGTGCAACAGTCTTTACTAGTTGTAACCGCGTTCGCTTATAAATAACAACAATATGTCTCACTTGGCTAGAAGTAGAAGATGTGACGGAAACAACACTGAACTGGAGGACAGGTAACCTGGCTGAGTGGACGATTACAGTTTGTTTTGTTTTGGAAGACGATGGGCAGGCATGTAACGTCGTTGTTGGTTTAGTGTCGCTTAAACACTGTAACAGTTTGTTAAATGCGTATTGAGCGCACTTAGACTTGCAATGTAACGATTGCTAAACTTGTCTGTCGTGCTCAAGTGATGTTATTTTGATGTTACCTTTGTCTACTTTCACGGCCTAGTTGAGCTAGCTCGTCCTAAAGTCTGCAAAACAATTCCTCTGTTCTGTTTGTAATTCGTAGTCACGTTCAAATGTTTGTGGAATTGATCATGGCGAGTTGTGAATAAACCTCTCCTGCTACGTGACGATGAAATAAAGAAGCGCGTTTTGGTACCTTCTTGCGTCTCGCGACGCTAAATTTAGCTGGTTGCACGAACAGAAAGTTGAACGAGGAAGCAAATGGCGGGAGAAACAAATGGCCTCTTGTTCTCTTCATCGAAAGACACGCCGCTGTATTCTTTAGTTGACAACTCGTTCACGCATGTATCAAAGAATGTGAGATATTACAAATGGGTGGAACCAACACACAGTCTTTGTTTTAAATCCAAACATGGATTTTTTTTTCTGCTGTGGTATTTGTTGACTCCAATGTCCGTGAGGCAGTTTCAAATGGAGGGGGAAAAACAATGCACACGCGAGTTATTTTTCGGTTCAGCGAAGAAGCTGTTTTGAATGTTAATACAAACAACTGAAATTGGCATTTTGGAGAGTTTTAAAAGTTAAGATTTTCAATGGTCACTGTTTTCTCTGGTTTTGAAATTATTTTCCTTAAGTATATTTAAAAGAATGCACATATGCATTAAGTGAAATTTTATTATAGACCGGACCATACTCTGTATACGTACATATTTATTCAGGGATTATTCCAGCAAGCAGATTCGACTTGCTTTTATCCTAAACTGGAGTCAGAGTTGACTTCCCCTGAATTTGAAAACTGGGAACATTTGATCTAAATTATTAATTCAATGAAGCCAGAGTACACTCACCCCTTGAGCTAAAACCTGGCACGGTCACAGCAAAAATATATTATCACTGGAGCCCCAATATTGATTGATTCACCATGGAAACAGAAACATTCCAAGTTGCGATATCTAATGTGGCATATGAAAACCCTACTTGGTGGGAATTTGATAAAACATTTGTACTAATTGACAAACATTAAATTAATATTCAACACATTGTTATTCAATACAATTGTATTTATGTATTTGTGTTTTTCATTTGTATTGCTGTATCTGGCCAGAGAATGTTTTGAAGATGAATGACTGACTTTGATGAAAAGCATACAGTTTGATCAGAAATTAATCTGGGAATGGCAGTATTTCATTTTAGATTTACTTGTGCCTCAATGTGTATGGGATTGTGGAAACATGAACAAGATATGCTTCAGGTGGGAAACAACTGGTAAAAAGTTGGATTTAGCGCACTCACTGTGCTCGAGACCGGTTTTGGTTCATGGCGCCCGCGACCATGGTGGCTCAGTCTGAATTTTTGAGGTGCTATGTGGTCCCTCTCCTTCTGGTCCTCGCGGCCATCCCATTGCAAACAGTGCAGCAGCACAAAGATTCTCATTCCACAAAAATAATAATAATAATAATAATAATAAAATTAATAATAATAATAAATGGGGCTGATTGCAATAATGTTGCCTGTTAAGGCACACAACAAACGCCATCAGTACTATCGCAGTACTATGCAGTAAGTTATGACCTGGTTAGTAATTCACCACTGCTATAAGATGTTGGAAAAGCCAACCTGTGTTGTCTTTGTGAGATATTAAAATTAGCTTGATGATGCAAAACATTAAGTTTGATAAATATCCAAAGACATTTGAAAGTGGGAACTACTTTTTAGTGATGCAGTGTAATACCTCAACATTTTACAGTTTAGGTTTATTCATCATTGATGTGAATGTTCTATGGCAGGGGTGTCAAACTCATTTCACATGGTGGGCCACATACGGCCTGGGTAGATGTCAAGTGGGCCGGACCATTAAAATGATACCATACTTTGCTATAAATAACCAAAACAATATGTCTTTCCTTTGTTTTGGTATAAAGAAGCACAAGAACATTAGGAAAATGTTGAAATTAAATGAACATATCTTTTACAAAACATTTCATGAAGCACCTTACATTTCCTTCGACAAATGTGCAATTTACTTTTATCATTCACATATATGCATTGCAACTGATCCCACTGATTGTACAAACTTTAACAAGTAATTGGTTTTGAAAAATATAGTAATGCACTTTAAGATTAAACGAGATTTATAAAGAAAGGAAGTTTTAAACCATTTACACGTGCATATAAAATCTAAATGTAATCCCTGCCTACACCTTACAAACTAAGGAGCGTGCTATTAAATGTGTAAATGTGAGAGTGCTATTGATAGCGTCTGCTGTCATGGGTCTGTCTCAGTGATGGACTGAGGCTACTGTTGTCTTCTTCTCTGATCAAAACAGTGTCCCCTAGCGCAGGGGTCCCCAACTGCACCTTATTAAAAATATT